CTTATATCGAACTTTCACACAATGCGCAGTGCCGCTGCACATCGTGTGAATAGCCGCGGACGTTTTTTGACTCACCCCCACCACACGAGTTGATCCTGCTTAGTTCTAGTCTTCTTGGGTGAAACAATGCGCATAATGGCGGCTGCTTAAAATTTTAACCAATCAAATTTGCCCAATGAGGTAACGCGCTAATTTTAAATGTAATAAGTTACTTGGAAATAAAAACACCGTATTTATATTTAAAATTATTCATATTTATTAATATAACGTTAAAAATTGCAATTTTAAAATAATACATAACAAATAATGTAATATAAAGAAAATAAACAAAAAATAGCTGAAAAACTGCGTTCAGCAGAAAAAGCAGCTTTGCAACTGTTGTAAAATTCTTTAATATAATTGATCTTCGTGTATAACGAATCAAACTAACCAACTCCTTATAAATCAAAAGAACTTGGTAGAAAGAACATGGGCAATAAGAGTCAAGCGTGGAAGAAGTTGCGCAAATAATACGACTATAAAGCGTAAAACTTCTTTATTTTTGTTACGTCCGAACTCCGGTCATGTGCGTGGATAGGTTTAGAGGAAGAAGGAGTAATAAGGTTGGAGCAAGGAAGGACGTTAGAGCAGACGGTTTGTCTCGCATGCATCCGCAGGAAGGGGATAGAGCGAGTCGAACGCACCTTTTATAGCTCTGGAATATGGATCAACGTCCTGAAGGAACGCTATAACACCTGTTTTCAACGGGCAGTGCAAACGTCGGTCCGAATTTTGAGTCAAGAAACTTAATCCTTGTAACTCGGGACCGGACCACATGCGATCTCTGTCGAGCAGTGGGAGTTGGTACGAGGTCTTACGATTCTAAAATAAATGGAGATTGAGGTTCGTCATTTCACAAGTACTCTATTTTATTGTTAACACTAAATCTTACAGTTGAAGTATAGCCAAACATTATTATTATTTGAATTTATGATTAAAATTTAAGTCTATCTTTATAAAATTGAAGGGAAAATAATGCTAAACAGAATCTCATTACAATTTAACATTCGCGAAGGATATTAATAGAACACGACTTATCTTACAAACTATTCATAGCTTTACTAATGACACTTTATTAATAACTATTATACTTATTAATAAGTATATATATATATATGTATATATGCGTACATGTATATTCTCGGAAATTTGAGAGATCATGGTCATGACTAGGTCTATGAGTTTGTTGTGTGAGTGTGTATAAACGGAGAGGCGATACAGGAATTAACGTATTTCACGAAGTACAACGGAGGAAGGGGGGAAAAGATTGTGAAAGAATCTCACAGGGACGAGATAAGGAACGGGTGATCGGTGAAGGATTACAGGGATTGCTGCATGGGGTGGCTCTCCAGCTATGGCATTTCTTATCTTGTTAGGATCAAAATAATCAGGACCGATTATATAGGCATCAAGTGGGAGAGGTTGTGTTGTACGCGGGAATTTGGCGATTAAGGATTCGAATGAATCCTCGGGATGGATGAAGAAATGGTAACGCGGAGGTGGAGGTGGGAACTCTTCTACGAATTCCACACTTGAGGTCGAAAGGGATGGTGATGGCGGTCGTGGTGAAGGAGGGATGGATTGGATAGAGGAATCAGAAGTTGGGAGTGGGGTGTCAGGGAAGATTCGCTCGGTTAGGGCGTCCGAAAATGCGGGTGACGGAGATCGAGGGGGAGGTGAAGGAGAAAGAGGAGGTATCGTCTCTAACCCTTGTTGACTGGGTTGAGCCAGCGAAGCCGGTGGTGGTGGGGGAGCTAACGCGTCCTTGGCCGGGTTACTTTGATCCCGAAGGTTTTCGCGATATTCCTGGTAAGCTTGGTCCAGGTGTTTCCGCGCTTCAAGGTAGGTCCAGCTTTTACGCCAACCCTTGTATGGGCGATTGGTTAAGCGTGGCACTATGGTTATAGCTTGAGTTAGATTTCGCGGCGAATGTATATATATATTGGTAACTTGAACTTACTGCTACTCAGTTTTTGTTAGTCTCGAAGGATGCCCGTCAGAGGTTAGGTTCAGTGGTTTCTGGTGGTTGGATGTCCCGTGGACCCATGTGACTTGAAGACACCGGAATGACTCGACTGTGTCGCGGATCACAATTAAAATCTAATCGCGGACCGGCAGAGTGTCTTACTTGTAACTTTATTAGTAGCGGACTGGCGAAGGTTCGTGGTAAGATCGCAAACCGGCAGAGCTTCGCTCGAGCCTAAATTCTTTCTGCCTGACTGCTCGCGAAGGGCCTCCTTTTATATTCGCGAGTTAGTAGTCCCGCGTGCAGGCCTCGCGTATGTACTGGTAATGTAGGATTAGGACAAGAAGACTAGAACCAGGAGAGTCAACTCGTGCCAATAGCGGTAGTGGGGG